CCCCCCCCCCCCCCATATGTATGAGAAAGAATAATAGCGCAGCGCACTGATTCTAAGAATAGCTTAAAGATTCGGTCAAACATTGCATTCTATTTATCCGCTACGAGGATTATACGAACTGATTTTATTATTTTTACTTAAAGTTACAATAATAACCCATGTAAACTAAGATCAACTGCGATCGGCTGTGAAAATTATCTGCTGAAAGTAAACTTGTAAGTTTGTTTGTCCGAATTTTGCCTATGTCTTCGTTTTTATGACGTCACGGTTGCGCTGCGCTATTGGATAATGGGAGAAATTCAAAGTAACATATTCCTTGGTATTGCTCTAAAGGTCTTGGATGTCTTCTCGCTTCCTTGCCACACTTCCTTACCGGCCCGTACCGACCTCAAAACCTGGCGCTTGTTTTCCAGGAACAAGAGCTGTGTTCCACTAACAGGACACTACCATCTGATGGTTTTTGTCCAAGTCAAGAAGATGGTGCAGGATGGTACTACGTCATGATATTCATGTTTGGCGAGGTGTTGATTATGTCAGGGGGTGCTCCTACTGTCCCATTAGGGCATTCTTATATGGATGAAAATGTTCATCCCAAGCAGTTTCCTATCTATCTTGGGATATTCTTGACGTTGACTGCTCTTGGTGTTGGTATTGGGCAGATGATCGGTGGATTTCTGCTTAGTACTTACGTAGATATTGATTTGGTAAGTGGATGCTCTTTATATTTCTGCTATCTCGACAACTTTCAGAATTCTATTGTTAGCGGGAACACGAAAATGCACGCAAATGGTTTGCTACGCAACTCTACAAAACCGCACCCTACCTCACTACCTGCACTTCACACCGCACGACATCGCACAACACTACCTACACACCACATCACATCGCAACACATCCCATCACACTATCTGCACACCACATCACATCGCAATACATCTCACCACAATACCTGCATTTCACATCACATCGCAATACATCTCACCACAATAGCTGCACACCGCACCACATCGCACCACACTACCTTCACACCGCACCACACTACCTTCACACCGCACCGCACCACACCGCACCACACTACCTGCACACCACATCACATCGCACCACGCTACTTGCACACCACACCGCACCATACCACACTACTTGCACACCACACCACATCGCACCGCATTGCACCACACTACCTGCTCACCACACCACACCACACCACACCACACCACACCACACCACACCACACCACACCACACCACACCAC